GAAAACACCAAATAGATCTATGTTTGTAAGGCAAGATATAAATTTACAAAAAATGACATGTTGAAGCATCGAATTCAGGAGCTGAAAAACTCAACCACGGGCTGCTAGCCACTCGACAAATGGGTCCTGCCGACCAATGGCCAGCCGGAATGTTTAAGAATATGCTGCAGCGCCATATTAAAAACATTTTTTGTTTCTGAATTTTTCCAAAAATAAATTAATATTTATGAATTGCTGAATATTTTTGGAAACATGATCAAATTTTGAAACCCCGAACAGTTTTAAAAAACACGAACCATTTTGTGAAATTTTGTTCATTTTTGGAAAAAGACGAACATCATTTGAAATAGTTAATTCAAAAAAATCATAATTTTTTGACACCAGGAACCTTTTGAAAAAACATGAACATTTGTTGAATGTGTGAACATGTTTTGAACATTTAAAACAAGTTTAGAAAATGTGTTTTTTAACCACGAATATTATTTTGAATTTATGAACATTTTACTAAAACAAGAATATTTTAAAAAATGCAAATTATTGAAATTATTGACCATTTTTAAATTTTGAACACATTTTGGAATGGGAACTAAAAATAAAAGTTTTGAACATTTCATAAGACAGGAACAAAAAATTTAAATTCTGATTTTTTTTCTAAAATATAGAAGAAATTGAAATTTTGAACGATTTTTTCAAGCTTTTAATTTACAAGAAAAGGGAAAATAATCTAAAATGGAAATGAAAAGATAATCAGGAAAGAATAAGAGAGAGGAAAAGGAATTAGAAACAGAACACAGAAATAAAGAAAATGGGCCGGCCCAGTTTTGGTTGTCTTGTGCGAAGCTCTATCTATTTGACGCTTCGTGCGGCAATAGGATTCCACAGCATTCAGGGCAGATAAATAAGTGGGTACCTTCGCCGGGCCACAGTGTGCACGGCCCATGTATGAAATTTGTTTTTTCTTTTCTAGCAGTGTGCACGGCCCTTGGATAGATTTTTTTTTCTACGTCGGTGAACGGATGAAAATTCAGAGAAACGCACCTTGCTTTATTTAAATATATATGAAATATAATATATATATATATATAATATAATAATATAATATAATAGTAGGTAGGTATAGGTATAGATATAGATATAGATTAATGTATTTTCAAAACAAATTATTCTTTTTTTTGCGGTTGGAAACAAATTATTCTTATGTATGAAAATAAATGTTCATGACTAAAAAGATGTTTCGCATGTGAAAAAAATCATGAATTTGCTAGAAAAAGTTATAAATGAGTAAGAAACTATAGAGAAAAAGTAATATTCATCCATCTTCAAAACAAAGTATTCACATGTGTATGAAATAAATAATCATGACCTAAACAATGTTTCGCGTATTAGAAGATATTCATCCATTTTGTACAGCTGCATGTTGAGAGAATGGAACATACGAGTAGTGAAAAAACCAATTACTTAAGTGTGTAGAATAAGTTAGAAACTAGAACTAAACACAGTAATTCAGAGGTACATCCTCTGTTCTCATTTCCCATCTCACGTCCAGCGGGAAGCCACTGTATATAGGAGTAGCTGAGAAATTCCTCCAGACTTTTGACCTAAGTTACCCCTAGTGCTACAATAATGGAGTGAGGAAACAAATTGTAAAATAACTGCAGCGCATCTATGGCATCTAGACCAAAATACAGTGCATCTCAGGGTCCATCGGAACCCTTTCCCTGTTAAAAAAGCTTTGGTAGAAGTCCACGACTCTAGACTGACCAAGTAAAAGTTGTTAGGGCATCTCTTGACTACAATTGAATCAACCGGACAAAATTCAATCAAAACAGTAGGATTTCATATAAACACGTCCAGATTTCATTACATTTACATCAAAGCGGTGCTTGTCCGGCTCTGGAGGTATAATTAATACCTAATCTAAATGGTTGCCGGTGTCCGTTCCCCATATCCGGCCATGAGCCCCAAGAATTGAAGCTTCATCGTCTCCGGTTCTGGCTTGACGCTCTCCAGCTCCGTCTCCGTGACCTGGGAAGTGAAGTTGTCCTCCTCCATGTCGCCGCCAAGCGACTAATCGACCGCTGATACTGAGCCCACCAAGTTTGGCATCGACGGGAGGGGAGGAGTTGTGGCCTTGCTGGGACACGAGCGGCGGCGACCTACCATGTATTACTCTTTCTCGCTGCCGGCGGAGCCCACGGGCGTGCCGGTTTCATGGTTGTCGCGGCGGGGCGCTGACTCGATGATGTCCTCCTCCTTGTCGCCGGTCTCGCCGAACACCGCCTTGCCCGCATCGTCGCTCTCCTTGTAGGCAGTCGTCACCTCCGCCATTCGCTGGCGTTAGTGCCACCAGCAGGCGAGGCGGATCTCGCGGGCGGAGCGGTAGGACTCGAGCAGCGGCTCCTGCTCCGCCAAGTCCGCGTCCAGCACGACAACCCTACCGGTGGCAAGCTACAATCCGCCTGCATGTGCTTCTGCAAGATGTCGTTGTTGTAGGCGGCATCAGCTTACGCCTTCCGAACTGGTCCTCCCGCACCATGTCCATGTAATAGGCACGGGCCTCGCCGATGGTCATGGCGCAATGCACCGACGAGGATGATGCGGAGGAGGAGGGTGGCACTGTTTTATCGTCGGCAGCGTCCTCCATTGGGACGTCGTCGTCCTTCGACTGTCTGCCGGCAGGCCAGCCAGCCGGCAGCAATGGCGGCCATCTCTTTCTTTTGATCCAATATGAGTCCGTCCCAGAGAGCTTTGGCGGGGGATTGATCCATGGTGAGAGTGGTGCAGAGAGGGATCAGAGGTGGATGATTGTGGCTATGGCCGGGGCAGTGGTTTATATAGCAATGGTGGGCGACAGAGGGACAGACATGTGGCGTCGGAGTAGACGCCTAGGTAACCGTGTGCCATCAATATGGGCAGCAGACGGACGAACGGGCGTCCGTTGTGTTGTTTGAACGCGCGACAGTCGCCTACACCGGGAAGCGAAGCGAGCGGCGCTCTCGGCTGGCGCACCGTTTTAATGCCAGCGCCAGTGAGCGGTCGTGTCCGCTCTGGCCGGGCATGAATGTGGGCGCTAACGCTTTGGAGCGATGCCGACCGAAAACATGCGGAAGGAGGTGGGGATTTTGGTGGGACAGGGCGGCCAGAAGAGGGCTTGGGATCGGCCCAGACTCCCGCAAAATCCTACCATGTTTGTCTCCAGTTTACAAAAGAAATTGCGTTCTGACCGCGCCATTACTGATACAGGTCTTTATTGGATGGCTTCCACTGTCCAAACAGCACAATCCAAACGCATGCGGGAGATTTGTGGATCGGGATTGGAGATGCCCTTAATGTGTTGACCCGCTCATCACGGGCGGAACTACGATCGTAGTACAAACCTTAGACAGAAAAGCTACTAGGCAACGTCGACCAAGTCGTCTTCACCAAGACCAACCCAAAATCGGTCTTTATCTCTCGGGATTTATGCCCATTGGTCTTTGCCTCGAAGGTACAATGGCGTAGGGATTTAGAATCAGATGACGGTGCCATCGAAAAGCCGGATCTCCACAGCAAACCCACTGGTAAAACATTTGATAGACATATCAATACCGCATGGCATCGGCCGTCCACATTTGGCATCTCTGACACCTAAGGCAGCACAATTGACATAACTCTATCACGTATTTATAGTCTAATCCGGGCAACATATTAACATAGACAACTAATTAACCTAGCCTCAACATATACATAATTTCCTAACCCTGAAAACAAAGACACATAGTTTTCTTAAAAGGAAAGATTCATCAGCATGTGGACCAAATATTTAGTACAATAGTTTGATTACACTCTAATCATTGTCACGAGTCCATGACTCCACATTGCCTAAGTGTGTCGTTAATCCCATTGTCCGCTCATCACAGACACAAGTACGGTCCGACAAACCTTAGCCAGGAAAGCTATTAGGCAGTGTCGACCAAGTCACCTTCACTGAGATAACTGCAAAATCAGTCTTTAGCTCTCGAGCATTATGCCCATTGGTCTTCGCCTTGAACGTACAACAAAGTTTTGACTTGGAACTGGACGACGGGGTGTGTACCTTGAATTTCAAACGTATGAAAGACCTCTTCATTACCGCAACCACATACCTCTTCAAGCCATAAGACTCGGTAACGACGCCATCGAACAGCCGAATCTCTTTATAGAACCTGCTGGTAAAACATCTGAGAGACATGTTGAAACTACCATGCAATTCTGATATAAGGACCTCTACAGTCGCCTTGACCGCGTTGTGAAGACATGCTAAAGTCATGTCGACCGCACCACCACAGTCGCCACGGATGTTAATTGTGAACGGCCGATTCCATGTTCTCGTGATGCAAAATTCTATTGCGCCGTCGATCAGTTGTAGGTCATCTCTTTCATGTCTACCTCTTTTGATCCTCATGTCATACTCAATTATTGTATAGTTCGCCAACTCTATCCCTCGCCTAGGGCCACTAGCCATGCAAATGAGAGAACCCTACATAATTGGTATTGTAATTAGTAGCTCTTCCTATTAAAGTAAGAAACATCTAAAGCTAAATATTTCCATTATGATGCTTCACTTGTAAAAAACCATTTACTTAAACCTTACAACTGATAACCAAGATCTTTGTCACATATTAAACAAAATGGATACATAGTGCATAATGGCATGACTCACATAAAATGGCCCAACATTTGGTTTTGTTTCAAATTCAAATTATTTATTTACCAAAGCCTATGTGAAAATAGAAATAATTAAGCGAGTGTTCTAGGTTGGGATCATTAATGTTATGTATTTGTATATGCCCATAAAAAGAGGGAAATCAATTTTGGTGAAGCAAACAAGAATCCAAAACAATTCAACTCGATTTGGTCTGGGATACATCATACTCCATTCATTTCATAATTTAAATTTGTCTTCACAGTAAATCGCAATTTCATAATAATATAGAAGGGGAGCCTTGGCGCAGTGGTAAAGCTGCTGCCTTGTGACCATGAGGTCATGGGTTCAAGTCCTGGAAACAGCCTCTTACAGAAATGTAGGGAAATGCTGCGTACTATAGACCCAAAGTGGTCGGACCCTTCCCTGGACCCTGCGCAAGCGGGAGCTACATGCACCAGGTTGCCCTTTAACTTGTACAATCCAATGCATTATACTATTATTCTTCTACCCATGCACAAACTGATCACATGGGGAAGTATTTTTCCGTTGGTAAGACAAAATATTACATTGGCCCAATACCAAAATTGATAATTGTGGAATAACAACAACAAATACTTATTTCTAGTTATTGAAATTTCAAGAGTGAAAACTGTGCTTTATGTTTACCACTCCCTCCGTTTTTAAATATAAGGTTTTTTTTAGAGATTTCAATACGGAGTACACATGAATGTATATAGACGTATTTTAGAGTGTAGATTTACTCATTTTGCTCCATATGTAGTTCATATTAGAATCTCTAAAAAGGCTTATATTTAGGAACGAAGGGAGTACATAATTCAAGAGCATAAATAATACAAAATTCATAATCTATCCCAATTAATGAAGTAAAAGAGAATACCTTTTGCAGTATTCCATCAATTAAATGTAGTGTTCGTTGCATGTGTTAAGTTTACTTATATTTTAAAATGAATAATGCAATTTTAAAATAAGGAATCTACTTAACCCCATGAATAGCAAGCTCCATCTACTTAATTATGTACAAAAACATCTAGTATCTGGCTCCTAAAATATTCCATACCATCTAAATGATAGACTCTTTGGGGGCGGTTTTGCCCTTGTGGCATTGTCCATCTAACGACCCATGTCGCTGAAACAACCTCCAATATATACTATCCAAACTAGATGATACCCAGTCTGTTGCTACGTGAACTGGTTGCAAAATATATTGCATTGATATTTGGTTGCATAAAATGGTATGAGGATTAAAACTGTAAATGCACCATATTTGTATTTGGTTATTGTATAGTAGAAAACCATTTAGATGGGCATCACATTACTAATATGCATGGTAGCATGTTGAAGTGGGTCTTTTCTCATGCATGACTGTATGTTGTGGCAGGCCCTTTTCATGCATGGTTGCATGTTGAGTTGACATGTTAAAAGAAATAGATTAGTGGAGATCACCTATTCAGTTATATAGGATATAGGATGGACGGAAAATGCCAATGGAGGGCAGGTCCAGGGAGCTCGGTATTTTTCAAATGTCATATTTCAAAATTTTAATTTTAAAAAAATCCATGGAAACATATACGTTTTCTGCTTGAACGTGTGAAAAATCATTTGATTTTTTTAGGCTGTACAAAAAATAATTCCGGACCAACAACAAAAAATATTGGCTCATCTTAGAAATACATTTTTGGCTTTTTTTTCTGTATGCCACGTGTGAAAGTATATGGTTATGAATTTTCGCACATATGTAATACACATATGTGTGATTGTTCACAAAAAAAACATTCAAAAAAGTTCGCGCTTTAGAAATTTGGTTTTCAAAACGAGCTCCCTGGGCTCGGCCTCCAAAAGGCTGCACCCATAGGATGTGTGCTTTTAATGGGCAGATTCAGGACTATAATTAAGGGGGTTAAACATGCAAACCTCAGTACTAGGGGATGTTAGGATGGACTTATTCCTTGAAATAATTCCACCTGGGTATGTGTATGCACCTGCGCCACAATGATGGGATCATTCCTGCTAATATTGACGACATAATTAAGCAACATATCCACTTCGTCCCGCTCTGCTATGTATCCATATAACTCTACCAAGCCATTATCCCCAGGAATTTTAGCCAACTCCAATGCGAAAATTTGCAGCATGTTACAACAAACTTTCATGCCCTTTGTGGGATCTGAAAACATCATTGCCTCCAACCGAGCTGCATAAAAAATGAAGTTATATTGTAAGTTTATATCTAAAATTCGGTAAGTAGATACATGACATTAGAAAGGTAAAAACATGTCGTTTGAGGATTACATGTCCCTATCTGAATTTTTCCTTTTCATCTACTAAGTAGAAACTATCTATGTTCATTTCACAATGAATTTTGCTCCGTCGAAAAGTTTTTCTTTAGGAACTTGTCTAAACAATTTTTTGTGTGCATCGTGCCTACACAAATTGTATGCTCTTTTTTATGTTTGTATGTCCTCATTTATCCCTGAACATACATCACTTGTCATCTATTTAAATGAGATTGGTGCTGATGCGGAGCATCCTACGGGCATCACCATGTCAAGAGTCCATTTGGCAAGTGACACGTGCGACATCTACTTCTCATACCTAAAGGTGAATCTTTCCCTTTACACGTGTTCACTTGACCCCTTTGAGGATGGTATACTACTTGACACCCCACTCGTGTGCATGCATAGGTATTGTCGGAACTTCACGGATGACGAGGAGGAGTGCAAGCGCCAAGGAACACCTACACCGTCCGCGAGGGAAGTCTGGAAGAGAAGACGGAAGAAGAAGGAGCTGCAGAGTCTTCAGCGACCGGACGACCGGAAGCCACCGGACATCCGACCCTCTACAGCCGCCGGACGACCGACGACACCGGACGTCCGACAAGTCCCAGGCACCGGACGTCCGACGCTTACCGGAAATCCGGTGCCACCTGTCCCGAGAAGAATCAGCGGACGTCCGACGCGCGCTGGATGTCCGGTCCGTCCTGAGCCACCGGACGTCCGACCCCCATCGGTCGTCCGGTACCTGCCTGTGTGCAGCCGCGGGCCTTTGGCCTTGTACCCCTCTCCCACTTACCCCTTCGTGGCTAAGACTATAAATAGACCACCTCCACCTCCTTTCTAAGGTTAGCGTTGGTTTAGCTCATGTTTAGAGATAGAGCTTCGCTTATCCATATCGAATCTACTCCTTGAGAGAGACCGCGGCCCCTCTTCGGAGAAGAACCACCTTGGATTCAAGACCCCTTTACGGGAAGATCCCCTTGTGGATTCAAGACCTCCTCACGGAGAAGAACCGGCTACCCTTTGTATCGTCCCTTGTTGGATTTGGATCGTGTATCTCCTTATGTTTCGAGGATCTAGCACATGTGTGATTGTTCTTGTTGGTTTGAGTGATTCTCTCGTATTTCCCCTCGTGTTTCTCCTCGTGATTCCCCTCGTGTTCTTCGTGTTCTTCGCGGGATCCGCTCCTTTCGTGAAAGATCAGGCCACTAGGGTGCTACCCTACATCAGGTGCCCTATGATAAGTTAACTGGATGTTCTTCATCCAGTGGTGCCGCAACTCAATACCATATAGTATCACCGCATGCAGAAGAGTCTGGCGGAGAGCAACCTTCATTCTTCTACGTTCTAATGGGTATGAGATAAAACTCAAGTCTCACCTACAAGCATATGGGGAAATAGGATTAAACCACTTAAGAGTTTCCACTGAATGGGATAAGACTAATGGTCATACTATAAACTCACCTTTTTATGACAAAAAGGCAGGTATATATGCCCAGAAGTCAAGGAAAAAGCAACCTCATGAGGTGCTAGGGAAAAGCAAGATGTCCAAATATGGAATCATAGCACCCCAAACTATTGCACTGCAACAAGGGATGTATGTTGAGAAAAGCTGGTATTAAGAGCATCTACAGCCAGGCACCCCAAACCCACCTCAAACATCTGGGCAGACGGCCCGGTCATTGACCGGTAACAAAAAAGCGACCCAGATGGACGCCTCAAACGGGCCTCAAAAGTCTAGGTTGACCGACACCCTTCATATCCAGCCCAAATGTAGGGCGAATATGGGGGCGCCCAGTGCGTCCGCCACGTCAAACCCGGCCCACACTGGCCCACCCGACCCCACATATATTCCTCCCCATTCACTCCCCGGACAAAACCCTAGCCACTTCACTTCACTCCCCTCCGCCACCCAAGCTCCCATCCGGTGATCTCCGGCCTTCTCCAGCATGGCGTGCAGCGGATCCGAGTCCTACATCTCCAGATCCGTCGACCCTGAGCTCATCCCACGCAGCCCTAAGGAGGAGATGACCGTCCGGCTTGCGCTCCGCAGCTCCCAGGAGGAGGCCACCCGACGGCAGTGCTCAGACTCCTTTCGTCGAGAATCCATTGCGCCCACCCAAATGCCGCATGGATCCAGCGCGTGGTGTGGCATCGCTGCCTCACCGGAGGCGGCGCGGTCCATCTGTCGTCTGAACGCGGTGGCCAATGCGCAATCCCTCCGTTGGCTCATCGAGGTGGAGGATGCACCATTGGCATCGTCCGTCGCAAACATGGCACGACGTCCCCCCCTCCCCAGCAAGGGCAGCGACAGCCCTCACGACGGCCGACGTTGGTGAAGTGGAGTCGCATTCTCCGGCGCCCTGTATGGCGCACCAGTCCGGGCGCCGCAGCCATGTTGTGGTGGATGTTGCCGGCTCGTCCCAGGGCGGATCAATCATCAATCAGACGTCCACCGCGACCGTTAGGGTTCCGGACTCCGACGAGGAAGAGTAGGGCATGGGAGACAGCGACGCCTTGAGTCCCATAAGCTGGCTCGTGCCCCATGTCCTACTCTACCTCGCCGACGACCGGACCAACACTCTGGGGACCGCAACCGGCCGCCGGACAAGGGTACAACGAAGTCGGGCGGGCTCCGCTTAAGATTAGGTTTACCTTGCATGTAATAGTATGAATCTGAGGTTTCTAATTTGAGATATCCGTATGTGGAATGGATTATTCGAGGTGTGACCGGTCATTGTCCCCGGACGGGCCAGACGCGTCTGTGGGCGTTTGAGGAGTCAAATTTGCCAAATCGTTTGTAGATGCTTTGAGCCTACAAAGCTAAGGAGGAGAGATGCTTGAAGACCAACAGGGTGAGGAGGGACAATTATAATAACTTAAGAGCTACATCCACAGCGAACCAGGTATACTCTTTCCTTTGCTAGCCTTCTAGACTGTAGAACTTCACTTGTTTTCAGTTGTCAGTTGTCACAGCTATAAGGTTTTCGGTGTGGACTAGTTCAATCTGATTCCGATTAGGTGAAATTGTGCGCAGTTACAAATCCAAAAGTTTTTATAAAATTCGTATGTAAGAACAACATTGACTAGAAACAATAATCTTTTCCTAATAATAAAGCACGGAGTGTCTCCCGTCGTCCATTGCGTCCTTTTGCAAAAAAATCCCTGCCTTTTCTATTAATTAACCCACAGTCCATCTTTAAGTGAGAACAAACCATTTTTTGCATTTTACACAAACCTCCCTACTTTTTATATTAATCAACCCGCGGTCCGTATTTAAGTCAGCCGAATCGCTTTTTTGTTTTAACAGAAAACCCGAAGACTTTTCGGTTAATCAATCCGCGGTTTATCTAAAACAAAATTATACATATCGTTTAAACCGTAACACCGATTCTAACATGCTAAATATGATGCTATTTTTAGCGGCTAAATACTTCTAAAATATTATTTTTTAGTGCAAACTTAATATATAGTGCACAATCCATTTTTTCCGTACCAGCGGCGATCCGAATTGCAAATAAACATCCATTTAAACCAGATTGAGAGAAAAGAAAATATCGATAACCACACATACACACCTCTGAAAAACCTCGCGGGGAAAACAACATATTTCTCATCTTATTCTGAGCGAGTGTGCGTGCACGCGAAAGAGAGCGAGAGAGACGCCTTAGGACTAACCATATTCAAACGTGTTTTTTTTGTGTGAGCACTAGGGCTACCGTCGGCAACACAAATATGATGCCATGTGAATATAAAGAACGTTGACCTATTAGGGTCTTGAGTCATGATTATTGGGTTAAGAGCGTGTGTTATTTTCTTTTCCATTGCAACATACGGGCACTTTTGCTAGTCTATATAAAGGCATCTTCAACGCTGACCCGTAAACCTCTGGCATGCGTCCGGACAGTGGAAGTCATCCAACACGGGCCTGTATTGGTCTACAACATGCTCCGGACACGATTTGTTTCGCAAACCAGAGACAAACATGGGGCTTTGCGGGAGTCCAGACCACTCCCAAGCCCTCTTCTGACCGTCTTGGCCCACCCAAATCACCTACCCGCCCTTCCCGCGGTTTCCATCCAACGCGACGTGCAACTTACCGCGTCGCATTCATGCCGGCCCAGAGGATGCAGCGGCCCGCATTCATGTCGCGATTTGACCAGACGGGAAGGCGGCGCAGACGGACGCGACCTCTCGGGCGTCACTGCCGCTTCAATGCGGACGCCGCATCCCTAGAAATCAACTCCGGCCGTTGTGCCGCATTGAAGCGGGCTGACCGGCCCTCCGCCTGGCCTCGCTCTAGCGCCGTCCAGAACTGCACCATCCCGAGCATCGCACAATCCTCTTCCTCCTCTTCGAGCCCGGCGGCGATGCCGAAGTCCTGTACCAGCCGCAATGGTGGAAGTTCGTCGTCAGGTGGATCATGGCGTCGCCGTCCCCGCTCACCTAGACCAGCCGCATCCACAACGGCGGGCTCCTCCCGCAAGGAGGAAATTGTCATCTCATCCAACGACGAGGACCAGCCATAGTAGTGGACCCGTCTCCTCACGAAGGCGAATCTGACGGACGAAGAATTCGTCTACCAGATGGGTCCAGCGCCACCGTCACCGACACGCGTGAAGGAGGAGCCACCGTCCCCGCCACGAGTGCGCTTTAAGCAGGAGCCGACATCCCCACTCCGGCAAGTGAAGGACGAGCCGGCGTCCCACCGTGCAACCACGGCCTCCACATCGCCGGCCGCGTGAAGCAGGAGCCGACATCTCTAGCGCTTCTGCCGCGTGAAGGACGAGTCGGCGTCACCCCTGCCGCACGGCCGCTACGTGCGGATCGACGGGCCCTCGGAACCACCACGATGCCACTGCCGGCAGATGAAGGAGGTGCTACCACCCACGACCGCCAAGGCGCGTAATCGCGTCCTCCACTACCTCGGAGGCGGTGGTTTCGGCAGTGCCTCCGGCTCTCGAGCCGTGGTATCCAAGGCTGAGCGCGTGACGCGGCAGTAGGCGAGGTACGACTGATGAAATGCCGGTCCTCGCTTTGCGTTCACCAAGACGGACGTGGCGCCGGAATGGGTCCACAACGACTCGGACCTCGCCGCGGCGTGGGCGCTCCACCGCTCCGTCACCACCATGGAGACGGCCACCAGGCACCGCCGCCTTGACGGCGAGCACCCCAAGATTGGCAAGGAGTGGTCGCTTGGCGATTGCTCCGCCAACGCTGACAGGGGCAAGGCCGCTGCCAGCGCCTTTAGCAGTGGCTAGGGTGGCCCTTCGCACCACGCAGTAGGAGGCGGAGTGGCTCCTCGGTGACCGTCAGGCAGCCACCGGACAGGACTGTCGTGAACCTCCGACATCCTTGCGCCGCTGGAGGGACGACAATGACGAAGACGGCGGTACAGGCGCCGACGACGGTGCAGCAGGACAAGGCGGCCACGCTTACGTGGTGGTCATCCTATATAGGGTTGTTATTTTAATATAGTTTTTAGTAAAAAAAACGTCAAAATATCATCCGTCTATGTAAATTATATTAGAACTTGAATAAATTCCGTCCTACTAGCACGAATTTCATCCGGTTTATTAATTTTTTTGCAATGTATACCGCTATGGTTGGATGGTGTTCTCCCGCATCTGTGCCCATGGACTGGTTTTCCGTCCATTCATCCATAAATGAATGCGGAAGAAATTTAAGAAATTTACGGATTACTGTTGAAGATGCCCTAATCACAATCAAATATTGACGTGGAAAAAGGTATAACCGCGGCCAAGGGGAAAAGTACGAGCGATGAATAAAGAATAGGAAAAGAAATGAGTAGTATTGATCACTTACTCTCGCTCCGGTCTGCGACGCGATAATCCCTTTTCCAGCCAGAACGACGCATGCCCCTGTAGATAGAGCCATCACGGTGACTGCTCTGTGGAATACCATTAACTTCCACGGTGTAATCGATGTCGCTGACTTCTTCTTCGTCCTCCGTGATCAAGATTTCAGTCGTACGACCCTTGGCTGCGCTCCTTGGATCTTCCAGACTGCCACCGAGTTTCCCATCTGTGACCTCGGAGGAAGCACGACGGACAGGCGGGTCGAGTCGTCGCGCAAGCGCTGGTGGCCACCAGCGAGATGCCATGGAGGAGAGGAGGCGTCGCGAGGGAGAGGCGAGGCGGTGCATTATTGGGGCGGCGACGTTAGGGCGTCGGAGGGGGCGTAGAACAGAACGGGGAATCTGCATCTGAGCGGGCGGCGGTGGCGGCTGTGAGGAATAGTGGGGGCTCTCGCGTCTCACGGCGTATTGACCGAACTAGAATCATAGGCGCGCTTTGCTGCGTCAGTTTTTTCTATCTACTTCCTTCGTTTCATAATGTAAGATTTTTTTAACACTACATTAATATGAAAAAACATCTTACATTATCGGACGGAGAAATATTTATCTATTTGCTCATTAGTTTTGAGATAAATCCTTTACTTATATCAATCAATGGACCGAGCGTTGTTGTTCATTTTCTATGGGACTTTTATATTTTTGGCTTTCATGATTTTGTGGTGTTGCAGGAGGATATTAGTCAAAAAAACGTATACAGATTTCCAGAAGCAAAAGACACATGGTCACCAAAACTTGGTAGGATATTAGTCATTTTTTACAGCTTCACGACAATTGGTCTTCACAAAAATGAAATCATAAACGAACTACTAAAAAATATCCATAAGTAGTAGTCGGCGTCATCCATGTCCTAGACCTTGAGGGCCAAACCATAATACCGGACAAGGATGAAGCTAGAAATAAAGATACCCCCTCCATTTCTTTATACAAGGCCATTATGAAAAATACATTTTGCATCTATACAAAGCCACTAACAGTAATCGAGGCAAAAATTAATGATGTTTTCTCGTACTGGCAACCTGTTTAATACCTGCATGCATGTAGTCATTATGACACTCTGCTACTTCCTTCTCATTCCTTTCTTGCATGCATGCAGGCGTATTAATGATCTCGGTTAACGGAAATAAAAGTTGACTTGCAAAGTAGTCATTAAATTTTACCTTAATACCTGTAATTGGAGGAAGTATATGGAATCAGCTCTATAAACAAAGCAGTCGTGTTCACAAATAAATAGTGTGGTTCCTCTATAACCCTCTTGGAAAAGCAACAACCGAAGTACAAAACATCGATGAGTTTTTATGGCTAAATGACAGTTACAACCCAGTGATGAAACAACTTCAACCCAATGATTCTTACTTCAAGATCTCACAACATGCAAATTCAGATTCAAACTTGAAGATAAAATCCCCATGGAATTTGCTACTTGTTCAGCTTGGAGCAAGTAAGATCAAATTCAAATCTGTCCGAGAAAGGAGAAGGGGGGAGGTGGGGGAGGGGGAGCGAGGGATTAGTAGTTGTGATGCAAACTTTGTCGACGGCAACGTGTCGAGGAAGATGACCGGGTCCTGAAGTCAGCGCGCATCCCTCGCCAGCCCATTGCTCGCCGTGGCGGCCTGAGTCGCCGCCTGCTCGTCCATGACCCCCGCGCTCGCCCTTGCCGGACATTACCTCGCTGCGATAGGGGAAGGTGGGGGAGGGGGAGACGTTCCCGTCGATGACGAGGTGCCGTAGGGTGACTTCGTAAATTTCAAGATGATATGCCGGCTCAGTATTTATGAGGTGCTTATAGGGGTAGGGTATGCATGTGTATTTTTATAGGGGTGAGTGTATGCGCATGTATATGAGTGCTTGCGTCTATATTGTGTTAAAAAAAGTGCAACACATCAACTTATACGCGGATAGACGGCTGTACCACTAATTCCCCTCATTTACAGGAGCGACACATCACCAGGATACGTGTAACTGGGAGTGGACCAAGCGATAAACAACTCCCAACTCACCTGCTAACGATCATGATCAATTTCATCTCTTCAGCCCCGAGCTACCACAGCCCTCACATTCGAGGGAGCTTAGTAACTCTAGGGATGCTATGGTGGGATTAGTTGGCTTGGCTTATTATTAACAGATTTCTTTTGCGATAACGGCTTATTGTACGTAGCAGATTAGAGTATAAATTTCAAAAGAAAAAGATTAGAGTATGATGGTCGTGATCGTATTTTTTAAAATGTGTGATCGTATTATATTTTAGGTCCACTTAAATGATAGTACACCAAAATTTTACACAAATATAAACATAAAAGTTAAATTTCATGAAGCAAGCCGCTACGCGTCTGCCGGTGGATGTATGGGAAACATCCGCCGCATGGAGGTCTGTTCGATCAGCGCCCTGACAGTTGTCGGATCACCATCGCGCGGGCGTGACCACCTTTTACTTCCTGCAACAACACCTCTGTTTCAGAAACATATTCCCCTGTCAGTCGTCCCGCCGACGCGGGGGGAGGGGGGTGTTTTCCTGCAACCGGAGCTATGTTTCTAAAACATGCACCATGTTGCAATATTTGACCACTCACTCTTTAACGTCGGACTATGTTTCGGAAACAAGACCCTCGTTGCAGAAAAAAAAAACCTTCACAACCGAAATATTTCTGTTCTTTCTGAAACAAAAGACATGTTGCAGAAATCTTTTGAAACAAGACCCCAGTTGCAAAAAAAAAACCCTCACCACTGAATTATTTCTTCATTCTTTCTGAAACTAGTCATGTGTTGCAGAAACCTACTAAAACAAGACCCTGATTGCAAAGAAAAAGAAAAAGACTGGCCACGCAGGATCCTGCAACTTTAAGTTTATCATAAGCTATTAGCTTCAGAGAAAATCACATGGAATCCTACGGAAACTATGAGCTCCAGAAATCCAGAAATAATACAAGGGATCCTGCAGCTTCAAGTCCCTTTGCATGACATTACCAGTGCAGAAATTATGTAAAAATATCCTGCAACAGATCCAAATCCTGCAATCTAACTACACCGGCGACCTACAATGCCGCCGAACTAGCTACGCCGGCGACCACTCTCCAACAGACCGACCGTCTCCCTCCTAGTCGCACCGTCCTCGTCATCTCGATGGTATGGATCAAGCTGTCCCGGGGAGAACCGCTATGATCACCTACAAAATCGCCAGAAATGCGGGGAAAGGGGAGGGGGGCGGGGTTCTCAGATCCATACCTGCTGGAGTCGACGTCGGCCACCGATGAACCCCTTGCCATCGCCACCGCGCTGGATAGGCCCCGTCGTCCAACGCCCAACGCCGCTAGCCCCGCCGCCCTTGCAAATCCAGAAGCGTCGCCTTCCCAGTCGACGGAGCTGCCAGTTGCAAGAATGCTGGTTCTGAAACAAGGGCTCTATTTTAGAAAACAGACGCGCGTGACGCGGAAGCGGGGACGCTCTCGTCCATCCGATCACAGACGATTCGACGGACGCGGAGCCGGCGGACGTAGCGCACGTTGTCGGTCGGGTGAAGGTAAGCTTTTCCCATACATTTTCAATTTTCTAACTTTTTACGGAAAGACAACGACCATATATTATATAGTATTAAATACGGGTTGTGCTACGCGTTTGCCGATAAATCTTTTTAAAAGATCCGCTGTCTCGCGACCCGTCTGATTGTACGAGGAGAGTCTCCTTTCTTCTTCTCTAATTTCCTGCAACAATGCCTTTGTTGCAAAATCTCTTCTTCTCTAACTTCCTGCAACAAGAGTCATATTACAAAAAATCTTCTCTAATCTTCTGTAACAAATGTCTCTGTTGCAAAATCTTCTCTTTTCTAATTTCCTGCAACAAGACCCCTGTTGCAAAACATTTTCTTCTTTATTTTTCTGCAACAAGACCCTTGATGCAAAACTTCTTCTTCTCTATTTTTCTGTAACAAGACTGTAACGCCCCGAGACCGATGTGCCAGGTGTCCTCCAGTTATTCGCTGTTGTTGCCTTGTCATTGCTTGCGTGTCATGCATTGCATATAATGTCATCATGTGCATTTTATTTGCATACGTGTTCGTCTCATGCATCCAAGCATTTTCTCCATTGTCTGTTTTGCAATCCGGCGTTTCTATGTCACCCGGTGTCCCTTTCTACCTCTTTTCGTGCGCGGGTGCTAAAAGTTTTCGGATTCGACCACGACTTGTCATGCGGCCTTGGTTTATTACCGGTAGACCGCCTGTCAAGTTTCGTACCATTTGAACTTCGTTTAATACTCCAACGGTTAACCGAGGGACCGAAAAGGCCTCGTGTGTGTTGCAGCCCAACACCCCTCCAATTTGGCCCCAAAACCCATCAAAACCCTCTCCATCATCTAGAGCGTTCGATTACGATCGCGTAGCCGAAAAGCGCACCTCATTTGGACTCTCCTAGCTCCCTCTATGCATATTTAAAGGTTCCCCTCCGAAAATTCTCGGTTCTCCTCTCCCGAAACCCTAGATCCATCTTCCCCGCGCCGCCGGACACGTCCGAACCAAGCCGGACATGTCCAACCTCCCCGCGCCGCCGCCATGTGTC